TCAGGAGGAATAAGAGACAATATACAATCAAGGACAAGTATTAATTTAGCATTTAAACCGATATTTTTACCGGGTTTCGACATTTTTAACTGGTTTCTATTCCGGAATATCTCACATAAAATATATATCCTTGTTATTCGAAAACCTTGATTAACGCAACATAAAGATTGTATACAGGATAAATATTATATATATATATATAAACGGACATGGTTTATTTGAAAAGTCATATTCTGACTCGCAAAAATAGTAAAAGGGTTGTGTCTTTTTCACCTTCAACCCTTATGTGGGTTTAATTAGTACAGGCCGTTGGGGTTATTAGAAGTCAGAAATCAACATTTTCCTCTTTTTCAGCTAAATTCTAAATTCTGAAAGGAATCATGAGTTTTGGCCACAAACTTAGATTTTTTGATTTAATATCAATTTATAACCCATTGTCGCCGATATTAGATATTTCAAACTATGAACTCTGTTGAATCAATTAATATAAGTTTTAAATATCAAAGGTTTAAACTATCAGGTTGCAAAGATATATAGATTTAAAAATTTAGAGTTTGTGGCAAAGAATTAATTCCTTTGAAAAATTTTGAGAGTTTGATACTTTTTTGTTTGTATTCTACATTTTTCTTTAGCATCTTTTACATTTTCCAGATTTAAGAAATGTAAAATGTTGGCACTGCTACTGCTTTTGATGGCAGGTAAACAACAACAAAAACAACAACAACAACAGCAACAACAACAACAACAACAACAATAAAAACAACAACAACAACAACAATAAATATAGCTAGTTGACTTTTCCAAAAAATGTTTAAAGTTTTCAGAGCCCGCGATTTAAAAGCTTTCGCTCTGGTCGTAATTCCTTTCACCCAGCTTTAAGAACCAATCTTAGACTAAATTCTCACGAAAGCTAGTATCACATGATTGACAGCTGCGAGATCTCAGGCTCGACTTACGGAGTTGGACCCAATGAAAATAAAACCTTGGTTTGTTTTAGTGGAGAAAAAGGCTCAATGTGAAGTCTTGTTCTCATCAAAATCTGGAATACGCCAATTTTTATCATGAAAATCTGCCAAATACAATATTAAACCAGTTTTATGAACTCAACTCTTTGGAAAATTAGATGCAACTTAAATCCGAAAGCTCAAGCCCATCAACAGCTTGTAGTAAATGTTGTACTCTTAAAACTTTGCCCAGAAGTGTATCAGTCCAGGTACAACCTGTCCCCTATAAGATTCAAACAAGACACAATCCACACAGCTACACTCCCGTGAACTATAAATGCCACTACCATACCATTGTGCGCGATCTCGTTAGCTATCGGTGTCAATATGGATACTAGAAATTAATTTATCAATGCATCAAGCAGGACACTGTCCACCATATGGCTACAATTCCGTAATCCCGTGAATTATCAACCCTGCTACCACTGAGTGCCACACAGGGAACAAGCATAGCTATCAAACAAGCTCTTACTTGATCTGTTCCAAATACCAAGGTACGATCTCTTTAGCTCTAAATGTCACACAGTGACACAAGCATAGCTATTAAACAAGCTCTTACTCTATCTGTACCAAATGCTGAGGTACGATCTCTTTAGAACTAAATGTCACACAGGTACACAAGCGTAGCTATCAAACAAGCTCTTACTCGATCTGTCGGGTGCCGGATGCAACTAGGATACAATTACTCTACACTGTAATCAAAGCGGAGTTTCTATATTAACTGATGTATTTGAGGGTTATTGGTTACGAGTTAAATTTATTAGACGTAATCACTATTCCTACGTCATTATCTATATCTCATTATTAAGGCAATCATGTTACATATTACAGCATAGTTAAGATGCACGCCATTATATATATTACAGGATTAAGCTAATCCTGCTACGTATTTATTTTAAATGCAGTCAAATGAATAATGTACAACGTACTGCAGGTTTACAGAATATTGTGCTAACCGATATTTATTACAAGCTTAGACTTGAGTCGTATTTTTGAATATTTTAAATCTTCGACTCTGGCAAAGATGAGTTTCTAGGCTAATTTTGTATCCCTCTGTATTTTTTCATACTCTAAGTTTAAGAGGGAAGATATGAATTGGATTTGGGGACGGGGGGAGGGGGGTATAGTAATTGGTTCATGGCATGTAGTAAGCATGATCGCGTGGCTGCTCTTCTAACTGAATTGAGTATCATAACTTACAGGAAAGAGGAGTTGTAAAATTCTGTTAGAAATAAGATAACATAAGGTTTTCGAGTTAATTTATAAACGTAACAAACACTATAAAGGAATTGAGTTTTTGCCTCAAACTCGCATTGTCTAACCCCAATATCTTTGCAACCTGATGGTGCTATCCTTTATTATTTCAAACTTAGACTATTTGATCTAACAGAATTAATAGTTTGAAATATCAAGGTCTAGGAAAATGGGTTACAAAGTTATAGGAATTAGAAAGTCAGAGTTTGTGGCAAAAACTCAATTCCTTAGCAACTCAAATATATAGGTATCAATATATTGTCAACGTAGTTCTAATCTTTTATTCTAAAAATAAAATTGAGAAGTTAAAACTTCACTTTAAAGAGAATTTTAAGAAACTATTCGTATTCACGGTATCTAGAATGAATGAAATATCCATTATTTATCTATTTGGCTATTTACATTTTTGGGTTCTCTACAGAAGTTACCATAGCGGATTGTATGCTTCAGGAAAATCGAGAGAAGTGTTAGAATTAATAAAAACGACAATATCTTCCACATTATTGATGAGATAAAGGTTTAAAAAGTACCATTGTAAAGCAGGCAAAACCATATTTAAATTTAAATTTAAATGGATGGTAACTATATAAACGGAAGTCCCTGGAAGGAAAGTTAAAAAATAAAATGAATACAACCAGTCTGAAAACGACAATATCCCAGAAAGGCCTAAGTAACTTAGGCTTGCTCTTATTATTATTGGAATTTAATGATTTTTTTGTTTTGATAGATATAATTGACAATATAATTATTACGTCCGTATCACATGACCAGAACTATCACCAATGGCAGTTCAGTCTTATTGTCACGTGTCTCCTCTGAGAGTTAGATAATAGGGTAGACAAAGGATGTGTTTTCAGACTGAGATCGTGAAATAGATGCAAAATTTTGCAGTTTACTCAAAGAGTATGCAGGTATGCAGTTGATATTTAGAACTCACATTGGAAACAAGTTTTAAAAGTCAAATATTTAAACAATTATTTAAAACATTCCCCAATTCCCATATAGTATTGTCTCAAATATACTTCTTTAAATCTTTTTAAACATTTTTAAACTAGAAATTTAAATTTAATTTAAAAAGCATTGCATATCAACCATTATATATATTTTTGAAATTTATTATAAATTATAAATTTATTATAAATTCTATTCATCTACGAAACAATGCCTCATAATTTTCTCCTTTTTTCAATCTTGGAATTGACAAAAAAAAAAAATAAAACTTAATTGTCGTTTTTGAATTCTAAATATAGCTAGTTGACTTTTCCAAAAAATGTTTAAAGTTTTCAGAGCCCGCGATTTAAAAGCTTTCGCTCTGGTCGTAATTCCTTTCACCCAG